ATTGTTCTGATAAAATGTATAGCAAAAAATATTGTTTAGGGGAGTAGAAATTAAGGACGGGATAGAGCTGGGGCCTATATTTTCTTTTAATTTCATGAACTCATACAACTTAAAAAATTATGTATTTGCATTATTTTGAAAAAGAATTAAGTCTTAAATTTCAAAAATAACTTCCCCAAAGTCATATGCCCATATTTTGTTTTGTTTTGGTGTCAGCCCTAGGGCATGGACTCTGGATCTGGGCACTCTCCCTGAGCTTTTTTTTTGTTGTTGTTGGTCGTGGGGTTTGAACTCTGGGGTTAGGTGCTGTCCCTGCGCTCTTCAGCTCAAGGCTAGCGCTCTACTGCTTGAGCCACAGTGCCACTTCCAGTTTTCTGAGTGGCTTATTGGAGAGAAGAGTCTCATGGACGTTCCTGCCTGGGCTGGCTTTGAACGGTGATCCTCAGATCTCAGCCTCCTGAGTAGCTAGGATTACAGGCGCCACCTGTGTCACTGGCACCTGGCTTTCCTGAGCTATTTTGGCTTATGGCAAGTGTTCTACCACTTTGAGCCAGAGCTCCTTTTCTAGCTTTTTGGTGCTTAACTGCAGATGAGAGTTTCATGGAGTTTTTTTGCCTGGACTGGCTTCGAACCATGATTCTCAGATCTCAATCTCCTGAATAGCTAGCATAACAGGTGTGAGCCACTGGCCCTGGCTATGCTTTGGACTATTTAAAGACTTCGAGCTACCAACTTGTCCTAAGGGAAACATTTATAGGGGTTCTGATGATATGATCTAATTGGCAACAAGAATGAAAAAATGTTTTCCTGGAAAAGAGGAGTCTATGAAGACCTGGCCCTTCTGAATTTCTCTTCCAGTGTTGTTAGTTCAAGAAGGTTTCTGTGGTGCCATTTAACAAGTGAGTTAAACTCAGTACTTTCTCAATCAAGAACAGTTCCTTCCCACCTCTCCACGTTTACTGTTCACTCAGTTCCCAGTACCTTGGCACTAAGGCTGGGGAGGATGGGGACAACGGCTGCTTTTAGGAAGTATCAAAGGAGATTCCTATGTAAATGTGTGTGACTACCACGGCCTCGTATCGGAACAGACCCTCAAGTCCCATGGATGCTCACTTCTCTGTAAGGGACACATGATGCAGGGAGGTTGGGGAGGAAAAGGTCAAAGAAAATGAAATTAACCTGAGGAATGGATTCAAAATAAAAACCTTCTCAAATACAATCCTTCAAAAGGTTTCAAATATTTGGAAGAAAAAGGATGTCTACTTTTAGATACATTTTAAAGCAAATAATGGTATTTGGAATGATGCTGGCTGATCTCTAGAAATTTACTCCTAGAAAAATGTAGGATTCAATTTAAATGTTAGGTATTGCTTTTTTTTTTAAAAATAGCCATTATACTAGTTTTGTAGGTTAGCTTATTTTAGTTCTTTGAAAGGACAATATAAAAACATCTAGGAGAGGACTCCATCTTAACAGGTTCACATGGTGACAAGCAGAAAGGAAAGAGAAAGCAACCAATAAACAAAAAGACACAGTGTCATACTGGATACTGAATAGGGTTTTAAACGTAATATGCCTTGAAAATGTTTGTATGTCAAGACTCAGAGATCTACCATGTCCCTTTTAATGGCTACATGATGTCCTATTTCATGCATTGCTCTATTGATGTCACAAATCCCCTACTGATGAATATTCAGCTTGCTTCCAACAGTTCCTTGTTAGAAACACAGTACCAATCAAATTCCTTGTACACAGATTTTTGTTCACTTTCCCAATTACAGATTAGGTTAAATCAATTTGGGAATTTACAACACTCTAGGGACTTTTATTTTCAAGTACGCAAAAGGTAGAGCTCTCTCCTGCATTGGTCAAAGGATTGAAACAAACTCAGAGACATGATGCCTACTGGCTCCATCAAACTGAACCATGAAGAATGTCTATTTCGCCGGGTGCTGGTGGCTCACGCCTGTAATCCTAGCTACTCAGGAGGCTGAGATCTGAGGATCACGGTTCAAAGCCAGCCCGGGCAGGAGAGACCGTGAGACTCCTATCTCCAATAAACCACCAGAAAACCGGAAGTGGCGCTGTAGCTCAAGTGGTAGAGCGCTCGCCTTGAGCTGAAGAGCTGAGGGACAGCGCCCAGGCCCAGAGTTCAAGCCCCCCAACCGACAAAAAAAAAAAAAATGTCTATTTCAGCTAATTAGAGATTTCTAACAGAGATGTTTCCTGGCTTAGGTAGGTTAAGTGTATAAACACACCAAGAAAGGATCAGTAATTACCCTTTGAAGTACACATGGAATCTATAGACTTTTGGCTCACAGTGGAGGAGCTCTGGGAGGCTGTCTGGACTTTTGCCACTTAGATAAATTATGAACAAGCCCCTGAACCGAGCTGTAGTTCTTTCCCTTGATTTATCTTGGCCTGTTATGAACTCTCCACTACTCACATGTGCAATCAAAAGGTTGGCACAAGACTAGCAAGAGAGGAAGGTATAGATCTACTATAAATACACAAGGTTTTCTGTGGACAAGCTTCAATGAGAAAAAAATTTGTGTGTCACTAATTGTTGATGTTAGTGCTTACTTGCAGTGTCAGTATGGACTGAAGAAAAAAGAGGAGGAAAATTAGTATAAATCTTAACTGAACTATTCCTGAAAACAGAGGAGATAATAATATCTAATGTACTTTATGATAGACTAGTGCAACCCTGTATGAAAATGAACAAGCAATCTCTAAGAAAGGGAGATTATATGCCATTTCTCACTAAGGAATATACATCAAAAATACTAAAACATGGTAAGTACCAACTGAGTTCAGTATTAAACTGAATATGAAGTACAACACAGTCAAATAAAGTATCTCATAAATACAGGGGCAGTTTAGCATTAAAAACTGTAATCTGTTGCACTGACAAATCAGAGGTTATAAAAACCGAGAAAGTAGATACATGCCAGAGGTTCATACCTGTAATCCTAGCTATTCAAAAAGTTGAGATCTGAGGATTGTGGTTCAAAGCCACTGGAGGCAGGAAAACCCACATAACTTTTATTTCCAATTAACTACCAAAAAGCCAGAAATGACACTATGGCTCAAAGTGATAAAGCACTAGCCTTGAGCACAAAAACTCAGGGACAGTGCCCAGGCTCTGAGTTCAAACCCTAGAATTGGCACAAAACAAACAAACAAAAAACTGCTAACACACTATCAAGTATCTCTCAGATATTTACAGTAAATAAAACACCTTGAGAAACAATAGAGAGAATTTAAAGTTAGGTAGAAGTAAAGGATACCCAGTATCACCACTGTTACCAAATACTATTTTTAGATGTCCCACATAGTACAGTGATAATCAGAACAATACATGAAAGGTGAAAGGAGGGAAAAACAAAAAAAGTGATACCATTTTCATATGAACAGACTGTCTACAGTTGGATGGCTTATGCCTGTAATTCTAACTACTTACTCAGGAGCCTAAGATCTGAGGATCACAGTTTGAAACCAGCTCCAATAGGAAAGTCTGTGAGACTCGTATCTCCAATTAACTACCAAAATGTCACTTGAACTATGACTCAAATATTAGATCATAGGCCCTAAGTTCAAGCTCCAGTAATGGCATTCAAAAAAAAAGAAAGAAAGAAAGAAAGAAAGAAAGAAATTGTCTATATAGAAAATTCAGGAGACTTTAACAAGGGAAAACTTTATTGAATGTGAGAATATGTAACTTTTTATACTATTCATGGATAAAATGACTTCATATTGTAAAAGTCAATTGTTCCTAAAGTAAATATAAATTCAATGCAAGTCTAATAAGCTGGTTTTTTGAAAACCAATATTCTTATGGAAGATCGATGCTAAGATTCTAAGGGAAAGCAAGAAAGACAAGGATAGACTTGGACATTTTGAAGAATTTCATAGGAATGGAGTTTTCCCCACTAGATTCCATGACATATATCTGAGTTATGACGGTTAATACATGGGTATTCTGAGAAGCCAGTGGACTACAAGTGAACTCAGAGCAGACCTAAGCAGTTTAACTCTATAAAAATTAAAATGACAAAAACAACTACTTAAGAAGACAACATAAATAAAATATCTTTGAGAACACTTTGGGATAAGCCTCTGGTAGCTGGAATTACTTAATAATAAAGGTGTTACTAAACCAACAACCTAAAGGTCAAGCTGCCTTGATGGCTGGCAGGAGAAATGACTGTCTGGAAGTGGAATACCGGAAGTGGAATAGCATGATGGTTAAATACAGACTCTGTGTCCTGGTTCTGATACCTACTTGCTGGCTTGACTTGAAGCAAGTTGCTGTGTTTCCTGCTTGTCAAGGGGAGACAAACACTTTGCTCTGTGGTCATGAATATTAAATAAATTAACAAGTGTACAGTGCCTTTGCCATTAGGGTTCAAGTATGATTAAGGATGGATCACTGTTATTGCTACATCAGTGCCTTTACCTTAAACCAACATAAATGCTTCATACATTTTCAACCATTTTTCATCTCTGCAATATTATTCGACCATTAGGATACCTATAGGGATGGATAGGGAAGGTTCCAGTTCACAGCTTCTGGGAGTGTTTTTTCAATGATAAAAATGAGGGGATAATCTCTAGGGCTCCTTTTGGCTCTAAAAAAATCATTTCTATTTTATAGGAAAGAAATTTGAGGCAAAGAGATGTTAGTTAACTGACTCGCCTTAGGTCACTGTGAGCTAGTAGCAGATTTAGGATTAAAACCTAGGTCTCCTGGATTAATTTGCATTACAAAGACACAATAATAATTTCCCTAGACACTGTCTCTAAATTTCTTCTTGGAATTATAAGGAGATACTTAGGGAGATAATTTGCTCAGGGATCATTTAGAATATTATAGACATCTTCCAATGACTGGAAGCACCTGATTCATCACTGGGGAAGGAGCTAGTAGAGATATTTCTCTTTCGTGAACAACATTAACATAGATAATGGTAATAGGAGGAATAATATAGAAGAGTTACCTGGGCAAGCAGACCTGGCTGGATCTGAAGGGGCTGAGCTCCTGGGGCTTGAGTGACAATGGGAACGGCATTCTCCATGCGCACTGAGTAGCCGGCATGCTTAGACGGGGAGGCCTGCAGGCCTGCTCAGGACCATGGTGAGGGAGAGAAGAGCGAGCAGTGGTTGAAGGCTGCTGGATGACAAGATTTTCCCCAGGATCTTTTACTGCCTACTCCCTGCCCAATAATCAGGTTTTGCATGGTCCCTGGGAAGTTTTTTCCTTACTTTCTCATTTAAATTAACAAAACAAAACAAAACACAGAAGCTTGCCCCTAAATCTGAATGCTTTCAAAGGCTAGACAGTCAAATGAAAGCATCTGGCATGGTCAAGAGTGGGACAGTTACGCTGACATCTTTCCACAGGAAGGCAAGGGCGCCTGACCATCGAGGTCTGCTTAAGCGTAAGGGTATGTCTGAGAGATGGGTGGATCTATTTGGAATCACACTGTCTGAGCCTGAGCCACCAAGCCTTAGCTTACATGGGGGGAGAGGGGAGAAGGGGATTTTGCAAAAAGTACATTCTTGAGCTTTCTGAGTAAATTGTGACCAGGTACACTGTCACCTGGAGCTTCTTAAGAGTCAATACTTGGAGTGCTGGGGTCATGGTCAATGACTCCTTTAGGGGAGGAGGCCCAGGGGCACATTTACCTACTCCCTGTGAGCTGGGACCATGTTGGCTGTGAGGGGTTTACAGTCTTTTTTTTTTGGGTCCAGTCATGGGCCTGAACTCTGGGTCTGGGCGCTGTCCCTCAGCTCTTCAGCTCAAGGCTAGCGCTCTACCACTTGAGCCACAGCGCCTCTTCTGGCTTTTTGCTTTTTGCTTATGTGGTGCTGAGGAATCGAACCCAGGGCCTCATGCATGCAAGGCAAGCGCTCTACCACTGAGCCACCTTCCCAGCCCCAAGGGTTTACAGTCTTTTATAGATAAAATACACACAGCAGATGCTTCTTTGAGGAAGGCAAGAGCTGATGTCCCTCTCATGGTGGGAACGCAGACAATGTGCTCAGTTAAGAGCGACTGGCCAGGGACGCAGGCTCTGGCAGGGGATGATAATGAGCAATGGACTCGATGCCAAAGCCCAAATCCCATCAATCTCAGGAGGCCAGGAGGCCCTGGTCTTAGTGATACTCTCACTGCGGTGGAAAGGAAGGAAGATGGCTTTCTTTTAGGACAGTGAGCATTTGGGAAGCTGGCAGGGGCTGAAGCCTAGTTAGAGAGGCCGGGGGAGCGGGCTTGGCTTACCTTGGAAACCAGGGGGACACACGATGAGCGCTTGCTGGAAGGGGTCAGGCCGGGCACATATCTGGGCTGTTCCGGTCTGTAGTGGCATGCTCCGCTGGGCCACTGCAGCCATGGATGCCGCTGAGGGCTGGTAGAGTGTAGATTGGTAGTTTAGTATGGAGACTTCGGGATTGGCTAAGGAAATAGTGGCACTGGTAGAGGTGGGAGCCTAAAGGAATGGTGGGGATTAAACAAAACATAAACAAAAATAAAAAATGAGGGAGATGGTATGTTGGGAGACACGAATCTAAATCAAATCAATGAACGCAAAGAAGAGCAAATAAACCAAAACCAAGATCAGGAAAGCAAAAACAGAAAGGGGGGTGGAAATCCAGTTGGAAGGTAGGCACCCGGAGCCTCAGCTTTGTGAGGCCCTGAGAACAAAGGACACCTGCACACCGTGTATCTAGACACAGAAAAGTTACGTTAGGCTAGAAAGCTATTAAAAAAATAAAAGTCTGTCCTCAGCTGACAGGTACATTTTCTAACAGCCTGAAAGGCTGGGGTTTTGTTATTTCGGTTTTGTGTGTTTGTGTGTGTGTGGTAGAGATGGGGTTTGAACCAGGGCCTTGTGTGTGTTAGGTAAGTGGTCTACCACTAAGCTACAACCCTTGCCTGAGTGGAGGGTTTGTGGATTCCTTGGGTTCTGCATGGCGGTGTCTGTGAACATGTGTCCATGTTCTGGTTTGATGCTTCCCCTCTGCCATCCCCACACCATCCTCTCTCGTGACGGCCTCCCTGTGCCCACGCTTCCCTGTGTGCTCAGAGACTGTGGGGCCCCACATTTGTCTCAGTTATCTCCACTCTGGCCAGTTGCAGCTCCTGTTGCTTTGGCCTTTCAAGTGTCCCTGGAAACCACTGATGCTTCAGTTGCTACTTTCTGGTGCCTGGGACCTATGAGGCCCTATAAACAAAGGATGTCTTGGCCTCTCCTTCTCTTCCAGTTCTTAGGCAAAGAGTCTAGATGATTCTGACTGGGCACATTGGCCCCTGAGCACAAGTGTCCAACAATGGTTTAATGAGAGTGGTCTGTGCACCGTGGGTTAGACCCGATGCCCATGTGTTACCTTCTTTCCTATATTCAACTTCCTCGCTCTCCAGGTCCCGTGGGCACTGGGCAGATTAGTGGACTTGTTGTTTGCTGAGACTACTGTGAGCTCAGACCTTTCATCTTACACAAATCCTTTGGACCAGAGTTTGCTCTAAGCCTCGGCTCCAGGGTCTGGCTGGGTCTCCGGGCTCACTAACTGACGTTTCCCTATCACAGTCACTGGTCCTCACCCCCTCACTCTAACTCAGCCATTGGGCCTAGCTCTAGTCAGAGTCTGCTGGCAGTACAGCCTGGTTTCAGTCTCCTTGGGAGGCAGATCCTACTGGTGACCTCAGTTCTAAAACATAGTTTGCATCCAGTCTGCATTTATCTGTTTTTGTTTATTGTCTGTCTCATCATGAAAACCACAAGCTTCTTAAGAGGTTGCATCCTCCAGCTTCTTAAAGATTCTAGAACAAATGAAACTTGTGACCTGACATGGGCCCGGACCCCAGTGTGGTCCAAGGCAGGCAGATGGACACCCCTCTGTTGCTCCACTTTCTATCCCTGCTAAAGCACCAACTAGAGAAGCACACATGCTCTGTATTTGGAGGAGATGAGAGGACTGCTGGGAATGGCTGGGGCCAACAAATAGGAATCATAAAGACAAAGAAAGTTTACTGATAATTTGGTCTTTACAAAAAAATGGGAGAAGTCCAGGCGCTGGTGGCTCATTCCTGTACCCTACGTACACGGGGGGCTGAGATCTGAGGATTGAGGTTCAAAGCCAGCTTGAGCAGGATAGTCCATGAGACTCTTTTTTTTTCTTTTTTGCTTACGTGGTGCTGAGGAATCGAACCCAGGGCCTCATGCATGCAAGGCAAGCGCTTTACCAGCCCCCATGAGACTCTTATTTCCAATTAACCACCAGAAAACCGGATGTGGCACTGTGGCTCAAGTGGCACAGCGCTCACCTTGAACTGAAGAGCTCAGGGGCAGTGCTCAAGCCCAGAGTTCAGGTCCCACCACAGACAAAAAATAAAAAAGTAAAAAAATGGGAGAAGTGATTCTTGGAAGCAATTGACATCCGTAAAGGGTGTGGGCTTGGCCTGGAAACCCACATTAAAATTCTTGGTAGAAGCCTAGGTGCAGGGGCTGGGAAGGTGGCTCAGTGGTAGAGTGCTTGCCTTGCATGCATGAGGCCCTGGGTTCGATTCCTCAGCACCACATAAGCAAAAAGAAAAAAGCCAGAAGTGGCGCTGTGGCTCAAGTGGTAGAGCGCTAGCCTTGAGCTGAAGAGCTGAGGGACAGCGCCCAGGCCCAGAGTTCAGGCTCCACAACCAGACCCCCTCCCCCCCCCCAAAAAAAAAGACTAGGTGCAAATAATAGAATACCATGGAAATATTAGTGAAGGGGCCAATTTGCAGGATGACATCAGGACAGGCCTCCTTAGTCACCAAGTTTCAAAGAGGAAGTAGAGGAAGACAGCTTCCTTGAGACATAAAGAGTGATTGATTACTGATCTAGTCTTGAAACATAAAGGATTCTAGACTAGTAGTCACTTGGACCAGGTCCTTTGTTTTTTCTACATCTTACTTGTTTCTTAGTCTCCATCCATGCTAAGGGCAGTGAGGAACTGATTGTGTAGCTCACTGTTCTACCTCTAATATGAAACAATAGGTATATATTATTCTAAATCCTAAAGTAGGTAAAAACAAACAAACACACAAATGCCAAGGAGCTCCTGTAGAGAGCCTACTACTGGACCATTAATGGGCAAAGGAAGTCTTACTGGATTCAGAGAGTGGAACTCACCTACAAAAGGCATCTGAGGCCCTCAACAGGCGGCATCTGATGCTGTCAGAGCCTGGACTCTGATGCCCGCCTGCTGGGCTCAAAGCCCAGACTTGATGTGCATGAGTGAGAAAATAGCCCTGGGCAAGAGGGTCAGTCACTCTGTGTCAGCTTTCTCCTCTAACCCAGGAATGCCATTCACGACATCTATCTCACACTGTGGTGGGAAACCGCTATGGGGAAGAGAGCATTCTTATTCCATAGCTGCCTTTTTGATGAGAAACCCTTTGGGTTGGGCAGGCCGTGTGGCACTCTGGAATCCATGTCCTGGCTGTCACATCACAGGGAAGGTGGGGGTGGCCTTGTCTGTTATGATCTGGGACTCCAGAATCACAGTTCTGTGTTTCAGTGGAGAGACAGCATGGCAGGGAGAGTCACCTGACCTGATACACACATCTGGGTATCCTTTCCTGAGATGGAAGACAGATGGCAGATGAGGACAGGAAATTTGGGGCTTAGGCAGTTAAAGATCAGGGTTCTCATGAGGACTGATGGAAAAAAAAATCTCCTCAAGGAAATGAACAAAAAAACCATGGTGGCATTTTTTCAGAAAGCTCACTTCCGTATGTGGAAGCCTCAGCCTCAGGGCTGGGCGAGGGGCTGTGTGGGAATATTTATTTCTCTGGCCCTAAGCGTTTAAATAAGAGCCCTTCATCCTGAAGAGAATGCCAAGAACACGAATGGCCCCCAGAGGGCAGCACATTCTAGGGAGCTAACACTATGCCTTGGCAATGGAATTGCTCCATGAGTGACCTGGAAAACAGGGAGCAGGGTCTGGAAAGCAGGGGCCAGGGAGACCTCGGTGACAGCAGGGAATCCTTCAACAAAGTATGCACAGCCAGTGGCCAATACACACAGTTCCAATCTGGTACATATACGTTTTTCTCCTCCAAAGGTGTGTGTGTGTGTGTGTGTGTGTGTGTGTGTAAATACACAGAAACACTGCTATTGACATGAAGACTGAAAAACCCAGGAACATTTCCTTGGGGGATGGGTAAATGGAAGGTGACAGGGAAAGTAAGAGAGTCTCCTAGATGCTAGAGGAAGCAAGAGGTAAAACTTGGGGATTATTTTGTTCAGTGTGTATTTCCCAAGTGCCATTTCTGTTTCAAGCTTTTCACGAAGCTCCTAGATTCTGCCATTTTTCTGAAGAAGAAAAAAAAAGGACCAGAAATCCGTGGGAAGAAAACCTTGGTTTCCTTGTCCCTTTTAGGTCCAGATGCTGGCATTTGGGTAGTAGACTGCTGAACTGGTTTTTCCCATGATTTAGAAAAAGGATGAGTTGTATCTGTGCTGAGAAGGAGATCGAGTGGATACAGGGGTGTGATGGGCCTCGGTTCCTTCCAGTTCTACAGTTCCTCACCAGGCAGATGTCAGGCATAAAGGATCAGGGTGTCATCTCGCCATTCCCCCCATCAGAACAGAGGATGTGGGAAGAGGGGCTGTCTAAGAGAGATGTGCCTTCGCTAGTCTTTCCTGAAACTGTTCAGCAGGGCCAATGCAGAGAGTGCTGGGGTCTCTCAAAGGACATAACCACTCAAACAAATGCTTTCTTAGAGCTAAAAACGACTACACAGATTTTGGGTGTGTGTGTGGGGAATCTGAGTCCCAATGCTCATGCCCCTCTTACCTGGTTGTGGACGGTGGTCAGCTGGTTGTTAAAGGTCATGGTCAGATTGGTAGATGTGCTAGGGGCCACATGAGTGATGAAAGGGGTTTTGCTCTGGTTCACTGTGTCATACATATTCACTCGACGCTTGCAAATCTCCATGTTTTGGAAACACGACTTGACGCTATTCATGTAGGAGGCAGAGAGAAGCACAAGGAAAAAGGAAGGTAAGGTGGGAAAAAGGAGAGAGAGGATGGGGGAAAAAAGAGGTTAATCCAGTAAATGAAATAAGTAGCAAAACTTAGCTTTAGGTCTAAACATCCTGGCTTTCTCTTGAAAAGTCCGCATTTGGGACTTCCCCATCATTCTCTGCTCTCTCTCCCCATCCAGGGCGGCAAAGGCTGGATATCACAGGATGCTCTCACCACATTTCCCTCCCATTGTTTCTCTACCTACAAGCTCACTGTTCTCAGCTCTCAGTTTGGTTTTGGCCGGTAAACAACTGAACAAATTCTCTACCTAGGAGCATTACATTGAAGCTAAGCCTGTTTGTCTTCCTCAAAGCCAATTGTGGTTTCCTTTTCCAGCAACCCTAGGTCACCGGCACCATCTAGGGGACGGCCACAGAACTCTGCATCCCACTTGGATCAGTACTCACTTCTCTCACTGGCATAGCATATGGAATGAAGACAACAGTACTAACAATTAATACTAATGCTAACATTTTGAGAGCAGTGGGAGGTATCTGCAGTCTCTCACTCAGCTTCTCACTCCTACGCCATTCATGAGGTGGGGATTTTCATCTTTTATGAGGAAGGTAAAACTTGGGGAAGACAGGTAATTTGTCATGGATAGGTAATCACTGGCAATCCACACACACACACACACACACACACACACACACACACACACACCAGACTGACATCTTTTATTTTTAAATGCTGTAATCGCTGGCAATGCACACACACACACACACACACACACACACACACACACACACACACACACCACACACCAGACTGACATCTTTTATTTTTAAATGCTAACATTTAAAATAAAGTCCTATCTCATCTTTAATCAGAATGTAATAACCGAATATAAATAGCAGTTTTCTACTATTTTAAGATTAGAAATGTCTACTGTTTCTGCACATTACAGGTATACTATATTTTTGACTCAGCAGATGTTTATGGGCCATCTCCAAATGTCTTTCCATGAAAGATATATTCTAAGTTCCAAAAAACTAATGCAGACATGACTTGGAGATTCCTAAAACTTCTTCCTAAGTGATGAGTCACACCGGCTACAACACACACCACATAGTGTTTACTGACTGGTGGTCTAGGCAAGAAAACATTCCATGGTAACCAACAATACAGTGCCAAGTTCGCCATCCAGCACTTTTCATGAGAAGCTGAAGGCATAAAATAGAGCAATTTGCATTTTTTGAACTGTTATTAGAGCATTTTGTGACCATCCAGTGAAAAGTTTTCAAGACTCCTTCAAAAATTTGCTTTGAATTTGGATGATCAGGATGAGGCAGGTTGATTTTACTTTAGATTAGTTTATAATCACACTGGTTTTAAGAGAATTGGGGTACTCTAATCTTGATACAGAGAAATGAGTGCAGTCTTCTCTAATTGTCAGCCCTATGTTGGATAGCTGTAACCCAGGCCCAAAGGTGCGATCCACAGCAGGATGCGTCTGGAGGTTTATTCCCACCCCAGAGTCTTCGATAACCTTTCAGCAAGTTCTGTGGATACTTAGGGATTTGTCCTCCTCTCAAGTAAGCTTATGTGTTGTCAAAGACCTGCCTTTTCTCAGGTCCAGTTCCTGAGTTCTAAGTGGCCAGTGCTCTTCTTTGAGGCATTCTATTCATGTTTCCCTGCAGAGCCTAAAGAAGGACAGGACTCCATTCATCCAAGTGACTTTAAAGACATGACTTGGAGTTGGGTGCTAGTGACTTACGCTTGCAATTCTAGCTACTCAGGAGGCTGAGATCTGAGGATCACAGTTCAAAGTCAGCCCTGGCAGAAGAGTCCATGAGAGCTAGGTGCTGGTGGCTCACGCCTGTAATCCTAGCTACTCAGGAGGCTGAGATTTGAGGATTGTGGTTCAAAGTCAGCCCATGCAGGAAAGTTCCTGAGACTCTTGCCTGCAATTAACCACCAGAAAACCAGAAGTGGCACTGTGGCTCAAGTGGTAGAATGCTTGCCTTGAACTGAAGAGCTCAGGCACAACACATAGGCCCAAAGTTCAAGCCCCATGACTGACAAAAAGAAAAAAAAGTCCATGAGACTCTTATCTCCAATTAATCACACACACACACACACACACACACACACACACACACACACACACACACACACACACACAGAAGTAGAGCTATGGTGCTCAAGTAGTAGAGCACTAAAAATTCAGGGACAGAATCCAAGTCCTGAGGTCAAGACCCAGGACCAGAAAATAACAACAACAACAACAACAACAATCCCCTAACAAACGAAAAACAACAATGGTATGACAATGAAAATGTCCAACAAAAGCTCTCTAAAAAGTACCGCCACCCTGGTCTCCTGTCTATTGCTGTCTCTCCATCATCCCTCTTTATACCCAAATACAGAAGGGCTGGCTTCACTGGAGTCCCAGCCAGTAGATCACTCAGTTTGCCTTTCTGCTAAGGGGACAAACTTCTTTCTCCTTGACTGCCTCCTGCCACACTCAGTAACAGCACAGATGCTGTGACTCAGTTTGAAGGGATGGAGTTTCTGAATGAGAAAGGCACTATCTGGTTGTTGCAATGAAGTGTACTTGCTTCCTTAGCTGCTACAGAACAGAACTGAAGCAGAAGAAGCAGTCTATGGTGGGCATGGATCACTTGCTTCTTGTAGGCTGGGAAGGGCCAGGTCTAGCCTAGAGACTTAGCCCAAACTAATGGTCACCAAGGAAGGGCTAAGCTCAGCCTGCAACCTCCCCTGTCTCTAGGCTCTTCTCCTAATACTCTCCCTGTTCAGGAGCTATCAAAGCCATCCTCTCTTGAGCACACTACTTGCCCTGCAGACACTCAGAGATGGGGCTTTTCATTGTTCCATGTTCCAGGCACCTCTCATTACAGAGGCATCTTGTGCCAGTCCTGGGGCATGAACTCAGGGCCTGAGTACTATCCTTGATCTTTTGTGCTCTACCACTTGAGCCACAGCTCCACTTCTAGCTTTTTGGTTAACTGGAGATGAGTCTCAGAGGCAGAGTGCCAGTGGCTCCTGCCTGTACTCCTAGCTATTCAAGAGGCTGAAATCTGTGGATCATGGTTCAAATCCAGGCTGGGCAGGAAAGTCTGTGAGACTCTTATCTCCAATTAACCACCATAAAACCGGAAGTAGAGCTGTGGTTCAAAGTGGCAAAGTGCTAGCCTTGAGCAAAAGAGCTCAGGGACAGTACCCAGGCCCTGAGTTCAAGCCCCACAACTGACCAAAAATAAAAAGATTTTATAAAAAGAAAAAAAAAAGAAAAAAAGAAAAGAAAGAGAAAAATAGTTTTATGAACTTTCCTATCTAGGCTGGCTTTGAACTGAGATCCTCAGAGTTCAGTATACTGAATAGCTAGGATTATAGGTGTGAGCCACTTGTGCCCAGCTCTTCAGAAGCTTCTTTCCCTGGCTCAGTCTTCTTGAAGCCATTCCCTACTCATCTAGGAAAACAGACTTCAGGTAGTGTTCTCATGACCTCTCAAATACCCTCATCTCAGTGACCTTGTCTTTATACTGCCCTTTACCCCATGAACTGCTGGACCTGACATGAGTCCCCAAATCACAAACTCATGAGGTTTCCCTGGCCACATTCTTTACCCCATTTACTTCGTGCTGTGACAGTAGCTTGGAGGTCATTTGGACTCCTCCCATCTTCATTTCCTTTCCCATCAGTAGCTGCCATTCTGGATTACAACACTCTTCTTGCTGGTACCAACCCCTTCCCTCATGAGTTTAATCTGTTGGTCTTAACAGCCTGGCAAACATTCAACATGGACAAACCCCACTATCTGTTTTTACTATGCCTTCCCCTGGGAAGTCAGATACACTCCCTCTTCATGTCCAACCTTAATGGTTGACAATCCTCCTGCGCAACTGGTCAATTTGCTGTGTCACCTTCTGACAGTTACTTAAGACTTTCTATTACTCTTATTAACCACCAGTTTTTCTCAACAGGAAACTTTATCATCTGGTTTTTGGAGACAGAAGCTGTCTGACAGGAAACCCTCAACTTTGCTCCACTAAGCCAGCACCCCTGTGCCTGCTGTGCATCCCTGCCGTCCTGTCTCAGAGACACTGGCCTGTTTCCTCACTTGGTTCTTCCTCTGCCCTTCCTAGGGAGTCAGGAACCCAACCCTGAGCGTCTTTTTTTCTCCTTCACTTGCTGCCGGAGTTTTCCCAGCAGCATTTAAAACTGTTCAAGCTCTAGGTTTGGCCTCCCAGTCACCTGTTCTTCCATTCCTTCGCACAGCCTCACTTTCTGAGAACGCTTGCTATCTATTTCTCTGCCTCTCACTTGAAGTTGAACCTGCTAAGTGGGTTCCTGCCACTGCCACTGCACTAACACAGCTGTCACTAAGTTCCTAACAGCCTGCAAGTTTTGAGATCCAAAGGACATTTCTCCAGACTACTCATGTGACAACTGATAGATCTGTGCTCAACACACAGCTAACCAGCCAGTGCTCTGCTTAAAAGGCCTCTAATGAGTTCTCAGTGCTCTGGGGATAAAGCCTCAAATCTTCACCAGTCAGAGCCTGCCTTGGTTTACTCTGGTGGCTTTACTCTGATGGCTTTTACTCTGGTGGCTCTCATCCATGGTCCCCAAGCCTAGTGCTTGGTCTTGCCCATGCAGGAGATTCTGCAGAGGCTTATCCCATCTTCTTCCTTACTCTGCAGCCCACCCAGCAAGGCTCCCTGTTACATCGCTTGTCACACATACATCCCCTTCCTGATGACGGCTTTGTCTCTGGCTACGTCTTACACCTGTCCCTCCTGTAGACTGTGAGTGCAGTACGCAGAGTGCTCATTTGCCACAGTACATAGCACACTGACTAAATGAGCAAATACTACATGAATTAGACTGAGTCTACTTCAGGATGGTCTGGGACTAAGGTCTGGTGCTAAGACTAGTTTTTCTCTAGGGCACTGTTGTTCTGGGTATCTTCCTTTATGCCCAGATTCCCCAGTCTGGTGTTCTCTCCCTCTCTCTCTCTCTCTCCTTCCTTCTTTTCTTCCTCCCTTTCTTTCTTTCTCTCCCTCCCTCCCTCTCTTTCTTTCTTTTGTTCTTTCCTTTCTTTCTTGTCCTAGGGTTTGAACTCAGGGTCTGGGCACTGTCCTTGAGCTTCTTTTGCTCAAGGCTAGCACTCTACCACTTGAGCCACAGCATCACTTCCGGCTTTTTCTGTGTATGTAGTACTAAGGAATCGAACCAGGGCTTCATGCCCTCTACCACTAAGCCGTATTTCCATCCCCTGGTTCACTCTTTGTTCTCCCGTACTCCTGTTCCCTCCTTTTAGTACGAAGTAAACTGTGGCCTGGGGCCCCACTCTAGCCCCTACATGTCTTGTCTATGATATTTACTATCTGGACCTCTCAAGAAATTGTGCAACCCCCCAGTATAAGGGAGTAAGCAAGACACCTACTGTGTACTGTGGGGAAAATCTAGTAGGTGTGTCATGGTGACGAAGGGATGGTTCAAGGTTTCAATTGGAGTGATTCTCTTATCAGCATCTATGGTGAGCATCTTCTTTAACAGGTCGATGAACTCCCGCCGATCTGCCTTCTCCACCAGCATGTCACTCCCTTCCAAATCTGTTGTCATGTTCACCTGGAAGCAAGCAGGGACGGGTGGGTGACCAAGGACCCCTCGCCTCCTTCCCCTCTCCTTACAACTTCCTCCTGGTCTCTCAGGACCCCCTCCCAGCATCCAGGAGGCTGTGCTCTGCAGCCCATAGGCATAACGGGAAGAGCAGGACAGGCCTGACGAAGGGACCGGGAAAGGCAAGAGGGCCTCCGCAGTGTGCTGGCACCTGCTAGTGCATCTCAGTGATACAGTACATAAGCTGCTGCTGCTGCTGCTGCTGCTGCTGGGATCAGCTCTCATCACGCCTCATTAAAAATAACCACAAGGTGAAAGGAGTTCTGGAGACTGGTTGCATAACAACGTGACTGTTCTCAATTCTACTGATGTATACATTTAAGAAGGGCTAAGACGGTAAGCTGGATATCTTATGTGGCTTGCCACAATTAAAAACAAAAGAATCCCAATGGAATAGTAGAAGCAAATGATGCAGGAAGGGCAGTGGAAGGGGCTGAGTGCCCTTTCTCCCATCTACAGTGCATCACCCTTTTCATGGTTTCTTGAGTTGGAACCAGAATTATTTTAGCTTCTATGTTAAAACTTTGGTCACCTTGGACAAGGGAGGCCGAGTTTTTTTCTTCCAAGAGCAAGTCTGTACTAGGACAGCCTTTAAAAGGCTTGTTTTGTGGTGCTTTCGATTTTCTTCAAGATGGGCTCTGGAAAGCAATTTCAGTTTTGTCAGACAATCTAAGCTACTAATCAAGAGACAAGTGTACTTTACTCACAGAAGCAAGATTCTTCGCCACACTCAGCTACAGTTAAGAGATGTGCTAAGTGTTTATTGGGCCATAGCTTTATTTCTCATTGCTTTAAAGAAAAACTTAACTTTGCATTGTTCTGATTTTTCACTGGTCGTCACTGAAAGTCGCTGCAGTTCTAGAATGTTCTCTGGGGGGCACTAAGGCTAGAGTCACTACTAGGGAACTGACTTATGTCTGAGAGCAGTGAGTCTAGTTGGCCTGAGTTCCTTTAAAAGATATGTTCAAATCCTAAGCCCTGGTAATTGTGAATGTGACCTTGTTTGGGTTTAAGTTAAGGTAAGGTCACACTGGATTAAGGTGACACTGTCTAGGCTCAATGACTAGTGCTTTTTCAATTCTAATTTTTTTGTGCAGGCCCTTGGGCTTGAACTCAGGGCCTGGGCGCTGTCCCTGAGCTCTTATGCTCAAGGCGAGTGCTCTACTACTTGAGCCACAGCTCTGCTGCCAGCTTTCAGGTGGTTAATTGGAGATAAAGAGTCTCATGGACTTCCCTGCCCCCCCTCCCCCCCCCCCCCCCCCGCCGTTGGATTTGAACTGTGATCCTCAGATCTTAGCCGCCTTCATAGCTAGCATTACAGGCGTGAAACACTAGTGCCCAACTCATGTGCTTTTTGTAAGAGTGAAGATCTGAGTGAGGGAAGAGGTGGGTTGGGGAGGAAAGGGTGAGGATGTTTAAAGGGGTGACATTGGTCAGAATGCATTGCATTCATAAAATGCTTTGTTAAATGGCAGCTCCTTTGTACAACTACATAACGATAATGACAATAATGTAAAGAATAGAGATCTGGATGCTGAGACAGAGACGGCCCAGGGATGACACGTGGAATGAGTCGGGGTTAGAATGCTAAGAACCAGAAGCCGTGGGAAGCTGGCAGGGAGACACGACGGAGAAGGGAAGGGAGGGATGCTGCTGCACAGGGACCGTGGCCCTACGGCCACTCTGCTGGCCTCTAGAAGTAGGAGAAAATACATGTCTGCTGCCTGAAGTCATCCAGGGGGTGGTACCTTGTAACAGCAAGTGTGGGGAACAGATACACAGAATCAGAGGCATTAAACTCAATGTACAACTGATTATCAGTTTTGTTATGAAAACATCCATAAAGACTGGCCAGTATGGGCCAGGTGCCAGTGGCTCATGCCTATAATCCTAGCTACTCAGGAGGCTAAGATCTGAGTATCACTCTTTGAAGCCAGCCTTGGCAGAAAAGTCCCTATGAGACTCTTATCTCCAATTAACAACTCAGAAGTGGCGTTGTGCTCAAAGTGGAACAGCACTACTCTTGAGGGAAAGAGCTTAGGGATAGTACCCAGGCCCTAAGTTCAAGCCCCATGATAGACCCCCCCCAAAAAAAAAGACAAAAAAGATGGGCCAGTACTATTTGACAAGTAGGAACAGTACGTTGAGTCTGTTTTTAAGGAGTTAGTATAGTTTTTTTTTTAAAAAAGTTCTGCAAACCCAATGGTATGTATTTTTGCTAAGGCTGGCCTACAACTACTCATGATCAAAGTCAGTAGCTGCAGTGGTATCGTGTAGGCAACTATTAGTCTATCCCACCCTTGTGCAAGTCTTGCTGCACTTGGTTTTTAAAGGGCTTGCATTGCATACTCACCCACGGAGCTTACCTGGGCCATATCATCTAAACAGTTGAAAATGTACTTTCTTGCTTCTTTTGACTTAATCCCCGTCTCAGCTTCATGGTCATCTGGTGTCTATGGAGAGAGGCAAAAGCTGATGGATAACGTGACTTATCTCCTAGCCACCCAGCCTTAAGCCCTTAGGCTCCTGAGGGTGTCTTTCCCAGATGCTGTCTCAAAGCACGCTGAGTTGGACGACTGTTAATGCCCTGCACCCACTGGGAGCATAGAAATAAAAGCTTTTGGTTCTTCATGCCAAGGTCACTTGGCCAATAGGTGGCAGCAGCCTCTAGAGGCTGTGTTTTAGGCTGACCCTTTGCTGGGGTGGGGTCACACGCATCTTTGGCCCCAATTGGCTGGGAGACGGCAGTTTCCAACTGCCATGGAGTTTTGGACTCATCCATAAATCAAGAGGTCATTCACCCTCAAAATTCCTCTCAAGGATGGCACATCTGCAGTGGCTTCAGTCTTGGGAACAGCTAGACAGGTGGAGCGAGGGGGACCTGGCCTTCCCCTCCCCCACCAGAGGACTTCTGCTGGACCCTCAACCTTCACTCTGTCCCTCATGGCTGTCATTGCCAGGTCTCCTATTAGCAGACAGCGAGTGCCCTGGCCCTCAAATCTCTTTGGCAGTGATTGGCAAAACATGATCTTTATACTGTATTAGAATTTTCCTAGGTTTCTGAAAAAAAAACAAAAAAACAACCCAACAACAACAACAAAAACTACTGACATATTCTCCTGTAAAAATTGAGCATTAAGCATATTTAAGACTTTGATTAGCTTCCCAGGAAAAGACAACAATTTTAACTGCAAGGTGCATATCAAAGTACAAGCAACATACGTTTCTATGGTACAACAACCTGGGGTTCATGGTGTGCAACAGCACTGTGCTGGCCCAGCACAAGTCAGACTCCAGGGTGCTATAAGACACTCCTGCTCATGTCCCTCTTCATCTGCCAGGGCCACCACAGACATTCCTGCCTGGCCCTCCACCACATATAGTAGTAATTCTCCCCCTTCCTCCCCCACCCCTCCTGCTCCCACAGGCTTTCTTCCTTTACATGATCAGCCAGAGCTGTGGTATGTGGTCTTGTGTCCTTCCGGACTGTGAGATCCTCATATACAAGGTGTAGCTTCTTTCTTTCCCTAGTCACCCATCGTGGCTCACTAGATCAAATTCTGGGAGTTTAGTCATCTCAATTTGGGGACTGAGCTCCTCCCGCAGCAGTGGGACAAAGGAAAAGATGCTTTCAGATATCCAATTCAGCCACCCTGGTTATCAGCAACTGCCTCCCTGCAGTCCCTTTATGCTGACTGAATTAAGATGAGTCCCAGGATCGAGCTGCTCGTGTCAGAAGCTCCCCATGAGTGGGCCTGAGCCCTTCTTTCCTGCATGCTGGACCACTTGGTGAGAAGGGGAGGGGACACTCTTCCTACCTTCAGCCTCCACAAAGGATACGGTGAGTCTGTGTCACGGTTGAAAAACCTCGTTGTCTTTGTCCCTGCACTTAATAAATATTCAGCTGGCAATCCTTGTGTTTGTGAAATATACCGAATCTGCAAGAAAAGAGAAGGAGGTCAGGGCTTTTCCTGTCACTGTACATATGGCACATATGTGGCTTTAGTGGCTTTGACAAAAAATGGAAATGACAGTTTTATAGGGAAAGGAAGAAGCACAAAGAAATCAGGAGGAATAAAGAAAAAAAAAACCAGCAAGGCAAAGGATGCAAGGAATAGGAGACAAGATACAGCCTGCAATAGCATCCATAGCTCGGGTAATAAATGAAATGCTAATCCAGGGTATTTTCCAGACGGAGAATGAGCTCTTGCTGTGAGTCGCTGTGTCATCTGGACCCACCTGATCATATTCTGAAGCTCCTGGATATAATGGCCAGCCCAGGAACAGCTCGGCAATGACACAGCCCAGGGACCACATATCAATCGCCTCACAAAATGGTAGACCAAGGATGATCTCAGGGGCCCTGGAGAGGCAGAATGGAAGAAACCATTAGCAATATGGAAACACAGGGAGCTGTTTTCTGTATAATTCCTAGCTTGCCAGCCTGGGGTTTCATAACTGATTCTGCCTATATATAAAGAGCCTGTGGTTCTTGGGAAAGGCTGTCTTGCAATGAGCCTTCCAGTCTTTGTCTTGGTCTTCTTGTTAGAGGAAGACATGGTTAGCCAGCTGGCAGAGAGGAAGGGAAGGTTGGTGGTGGTAGAAGAGACCTAAAAGAAACACATCTATTGACTTAATTACCATTAGGGTTCAGTCAGGTGAGTTGACAATCCTTTTAGAGTAAGTAGGAAGTTAGCTTGTCTAGCTCATTCTGGAACTCTATAGAGAATGACTTTGCTTTTTCTTCCTCTGCCAGAAGTTCTGAAACACAGATTAATCCACTTTCCAGAATATATAAAATAAACTGTCTCCACCTAAAATATTGAGATTAAATCCAATATTCATTCATGCCAACAGGAATTCCCATCAGACTTTCCCAAAGCAAACACTGCTCTTGTTTTTTTTTTCATCAGCTTCAAAAAAGATAATCTCTATAAAAGTTTTTTTAATATTACAGCTATAGAACCCCATTTATGAAAACATCATTTGAGAGTCAACCAGAATTCCATTAAAACTCGACAATAAGCTCATTCCTGATGGTAGAGTTTAATGTCCTTTCTGATGATAGGCAATGTCACATGTTGGAGATTAAAAAAAAAAACAAAACCCCAAAAACCAAAAAACCCCACAGCAACCCAAAACAATCCTGAATATATAGTTGGTAATCAAATCCAGGAACCATAGACCATACCTTCTTTTCTAGCATGTGCCACTACTAGGTAGATAGGGGAAGGATTTGGAGAAAACCAGGCTCAAATTTTGTGATATGAACACAGCTGATTTTCTTGATGTGACTATAGCTCATTTTGTGCTGCTAATGAAATAAACCAGCCCAATTTATTCTTTCTCCAAGGGTCCTGTGTTGTTTGGTGATGCTGTAAGAGGCAGATCTGCTGCTCTTTCGGCAGCTGGGCGTGGGAGCCAGGCCCAGGAGGCTGTGCTCTGCCTAAGTCACCTTTCACTGAGCCAACAGGAGGGAGAGGAAGGGGGCTGTTGGTCAGCTTGGGATCTTCCGCTACTAGCTGAATTTTCTCTGTTCAAAGGGCTGCTGGAAGCCAGGTGCTACACCCATAATCCTATGTGGGAGATAGAGGAGAGGACCATGAGTTTGAGACCAGCCTGTTATCGAAACTCTATCTTAAACTTATAAACAAAAAGAGGTCTGGGGGTGTGGCTCAGGTGGCAAAGTACAAACTCAAGGCCTTGGGTTCAATCCTCAGTATGATGAGGATAAAAAAAGAACAGCTGCTATCTCCTCAATTTCTATGTGCATTCATTGCTCATTTCTTTTCTCTATAAAATAGTTAAAAATATCAAACCTCCAAAGCCTTGCCTTTTCAGATATACGAGTGCTTCTGTAGTACCACCATAACAAAGGGAAGTGCTATGTTTTTAAATGTCCCCCGACTGTTAAGCTGGTCCCCAGAAGTATGACTGGGCCTAGTGGAATCTTTAGGAGAAGGGGCCTGCCTGGTGGGAGGTCTTTAGGTCATTGGGGGTGTGCCACTGAGGGGGACTGTGGGACCCCTAGCCTCTTCTACTTTTGCTTCCTGGCTCATGAAGTATGCTCCAACCAGTGAGGTCAATCAATCATGACTGGAACTTCCAAAACTGTGAGTCAAATTAAACTCTTCCTTTTATAAGTTCAGAAAGGGATTCACTGCTGGGGGCGGGGGACGCCGGGGGCATGCTGCCTTGGTGCTGTTTAGCAGATCTTCCACTGTCCCCTCACTCTGATGGCTGCCAGTGCTCTCCTGTCCCCTCCCCCTAGGGCATCTCAGTCTCCTTCAGTCCTGCTGCTGATGGTGTATTTGTGCAATGGAGGCTGCTCCTGCCCTCTCTCCCCAAGAGCTGGGATGCCTACGGCAGTTCCCCCAGAAATCCAGTTGCTGAAAAGATCAGCAGAGTGGCTTCTGCTAGCATTGCCAAACCAAGCGGAACCTTAAGAGAAAGCCTTAGTTGGGCTGATGTATTTCATTGTCAGCACAGTGCCTTGAGTCACAGTTTAAAAACTATCCCTGGCTGCATCCTCCTTGTTTCACACGGCCTGTATCCCACCACCTGCCTGGGTCATCTGGGCTGCACGTGACCCCTCTATCAGGGCTCCCGAACTCACAGTGCATAACCGATTAGATTATTACTAGATCGTCTCTGCCGGGCTTCTAAGGTGGATTCAGTTCATTTAACAAAACATCTCCCTTAGAAAAATATCAGAACAGAAAGCTACAGAGAAAATGACTGTGGGGACCTGCTATTCCTCCTGCCTCTGTTCTAGAGTGTGAGGGGCCTTAGCCTCTTGGAGAGTAGCCTGGTCCAGGCAGCCAAACGCCACTCTGATGCTTGATGACACTACAGGTCCTGTCTTAGTGAAAGGAGGGTCTAATTTCTTCAGGCCTTCCTGGCACCCAACCACAGGCTTCTCCCTTCTGATCACATTAGCCAATTGGTTCTTGTGTCCCCTGGGTACCTTCCAACCTTCCAACCTGTGGACACTTCTCATTCCAGTTTCTGGTCCATGGTGCCTAAATCCAACTACTGAGCCTGTCACACATAATACTGCCATGCTCATGGGTGAGAAACACCTGACATAGGTTTTTAACAACTGATATCACAAAAACAGGGCTCTGAAAATAGCTTCAATCATCAAGAAAAGGAAATGGCGGCCATTCATAGTGCTGGGGGCTGTATGTGAGACAGGATATATGTCTTGCTCCTGGCCATAAAGAACAAATGCTCAAGCATGGGACGAGGTGGCTGGGGGACAAAGAAAACAGAAGCATAGTGCTGTCTACATAGGGACCGTTATGCCCACAGGGGAAGGTAACAATACAACACAGGTCATCTGCAGTTACATGTAAAACATGAACAATAGCCGGGTGCTGGTGGCTCACACTTGTAATCCTCACTACTCTGGAGGTTGAGATCTGAGGATGGAGGTTCAAAGCCAGCCAGTGCAAGAAAGGCTGTGAAACTCATATCTCAAACAAACTACCAGAAAACCAGAAGTGGCGCGGTGGCTCAATTGGTAGAGTGCTCCTCTTGAGCAGAAGAGCTGAGGGACAGCACCCAGGCCCAGAGTTCAAGCCCCATGACTGACAAGTCCCCCCCCCCAAAAAAAAACAACAACAAAAAACATGAACACTAGAAACACACATGTAAAAACAATACCTAACATACACATACAACACACCCCAGCTACACCCTTCTTAAAAAAAAAAAAAGGTAGATTGTAACAGCAAAACAAAAGTAGCCCATCAAAAGCAAAAACCCAAAGTCCAAGCCTCAGACACAATCTTCCTTCATCTCCTGGAGTGTTGTCCTGTCTCCAGTCCCTGTCCTTTTGACTAGACACCTATGTTCCCCACTTTACCACACATTTGCCTCTCAGCTGCCCCCAATGGGACCTGTTTGCGGCTCCCAAGTGCTGAGCTTCTCAGCTCAGCGACTGACCCCATCTTTCTTTCTGCATGGCTGACCATCACTCCTGTTCTGGAACATTTATTCTTGGTTTTCCAGGCTCTGCTTGTGCCATCCATTTCCTTTGCCAGCTCATTCCCCTCCACGCACCTGCTACATGCCGGGAAACTGCCAGCTCCTTGCTCTTCTTCCATTTTTACCCATGTTAACTGTGTGTCTCTACAAAAGATAGGCTGATGTCCTGAGAACCTTAGAATGTGACCCTATTTGGGAATGGGGGTTTTGCAGGTGTCATTAGTTAAGATGAGGTCACAGCAGACTTAGCTAACGATGTTGATACCCTTATAGGAAGAGGGAAATAGCAAGACAGCCATAGAAAGACAGAGGCAGAGGTTGAAATGACATTGCCAGGCCAAGGAGCACACGAAGGCAGAAGCTGTGAGAAGATGGATCCTCTCCTAGAAACTTCAGAGGGCGCATGGCTTTGCTGACTTGATTTTGGTCTTCCATAATCAATTGCCTTTTGTTGTTGTCAAACCAGGACTTAAAAGTCAGTACCTGATACTTTGCTCATTGACTGGTGCTCTACCAACTGAGCCATGCCTCTAACACCTGCACTTTTTGGTGTCAGTCCTGGGGCTTGAACTCCAGGCCTCAGACTGTTCCTGAGCTTAAGGCTATCATACTACCCTTGAGTCACAGCTCCACTTCGGGCCTTTTTTTTTTTTTTCTAGTTAACTGGAGTAAGAGTCTCACAAACTTTTCCTGCCCAGGTTGACTTCAAACTGTGATCTTCAGATCTCAGCCTACTGAGTAGCTAGGATTCCAGGTGTGAGCCACTGGTGCCCAGTCAGATTCTACTGCTTTAAGCCACACATTAGTGTCGCACTTGTTATGGCAGTCCTCGGAAATGAACACAGTAATTCTGCGTTCCCATGGGTTCAGTTCCACTCATAGTTCCAGATTCCTGTCACCATCTTGGACATTTTTCTGGGCTCCACGCTTGTGTCCTCAGTGTCTGGTGTCTTCTGCCATGTCTCCATGTTACATGGAACTCTTCTCTGCCCTTCTCTGTTCCCATTCCAGCAGATGGAATCACAGCCGACGATATGGGACAGATCACTGAGCCGTCCATCTTTCTCTCCCTCTCTTTCCCTCTCCTAATCAATTCGACCAGCTCTGGAGTCTATCTTGAATCGGCCCCCGATTCTCCATGTGCCAGGCACAGTTCTGGCCCTGGCCATCCCATGTCCCTTGGAGCTGCCTTTCCAGTCTTTCCTTCCTCTGATGTATTTTCTCAATAGTTCTACATGTTTTCAAACCTTTCAAGGTTCCCCACTGCACTCAGGAGGAAATCTAAATCCCTCTCGTGAACCAGGGACCCTAGGACCAGGACAACACTGCACTGGCATTTCAAACCACTCTTGTAGCTCTGGACTCAGTGAT